CCATAACGCGCGCCGCCAGGGGAGGGGGCCCTGCCGTTTCTGCTCGCTTAATCGTCGTAGCAGCGAGTGGCCGTTGTGGCCTGTGGCAGCGGCCTGGTCCCTGGCCGCGCTGTCCCACGTGCCACCGAGGCGCTTTGTCCTAAGGTTAATTAAGAGCCAGCCTGAAAACAGGCGGCAGCGCGAGACGGCCCTGCGTCCCTGCGGGCTGATAAGCGCATGGACAGCTCGGAGAAGGCACACGGGAGCCGCGCTGCTCCCGGTGCCAGGCTCCTGTGCCATCTCCTGTGCCCCTGGGGCCACTCGGCCCGTCTCTGGGTGCACCCGGGTTTTTTTTCTGCAATAACCTCTGCAAAGGGATTTACTAGGGCCGAGGAGAGTAGGTGGCCCTGTGAGGGGTATGTCCCCGTGCAGACGGGTGTCCCTGGGCTTCTCAGAGCTGGATCCCATCCAAGCTCAGGGACCGGGATGGCCCAGGGTGCCGAGTCAGCGCTTGGCTTTGTGCCTCCTCCCCCATCGCAGCTGGGCTCCGGCACAGCCACTGTCCCCGTGTCCCTCTGCACAGGGGGAGCTGCCGGTGGCACCTCCTGAATCGGGGCCACAGGGCGCTTGTCCCCAAGGGGACTCGATCCTCCGGGAGCACCATGCAACGGGCGCCCGGGTGCCAGCGGGGTGGAGGCCACGTCCTCGGCGCCCACATGTGGGCTCAGCCCAACGTTGCGGTCGGACCTCGGGGCGGTGCCGAGCGGGAGGCTCCGCGCGCTCCAACAAAGGCCCTTTGTGGGCGCGAGGGTCCGCGCCGGCCCCGGCTCTTCCCGCACCGCCGGGAGCAGGCGGAAAGGAGCCCCTGCCCGGAGGCCACGGGGCCTCGCAGCGAGGGGGGTGTGAGCAGGGGAGGCCCCACTGCTGCCCCCGGGGTCTGTCTGTCCCGGCCACCTTCGTCCCCACGTGGCAGCAACACGGGGCCAAATGGCCGCTGGTCGCAGCAGGGGAGGCTGCCGGGGCTGGTCCCCTCCTGGGTTGTGGTGATACCATGACAACATTAAAAAAATCCATAGGAAAAGGGTCAAGGATTTTCCTAGAAGCCGACGGAAAGACTTTCTTTTCCTCAAAATGGTGCAGTGGGTGCAGATGGCAGCTGCTGCTGCAAAGCAGTCTGCAGGGAAACTCCGCCTGGTGCTGGGCCGAGCTCCCCTGCCGATGCTGCTCATCCCTGCTCGTGTCTTTGGGCCAGAATCACGGCTTTTTGGAGCCCCCTGACTCCATACGGTTGCAGTGGGAAGCGCCCGCCCATGTCGGCGTCTCGCTTGGCTCCCGAACCCAGGCTCATGCAAACGCGGGTGCCAAATCCCACGCCGTGTTGCAACTGCCTCTGTCAATCCCGTCCTTCCTGCTGCCAGAAGGAGGGATGTGGAGAACGTGCTGCCTCCCGCGTTCGCGCTCGACGCCTTTGCCTGGTGGATGCGCCGTGGGGACCTGTCCGGCGAGCCGAACCTCCCGGGCCTCCTCCTCGGGAAGGAAATTCCCGAGTGGGAATTTCACAGAGATGAAGGTGCGGAGCCGGACACATCCCCGGCTGCAGGAGGGGCTTGGAGGAAGCGAGGGCCGCGCTGCAGCCCCGGCTCCTGCCCCGGCTCCTGCCCCGGCTCCCTGCCGTGCCCGCTCCCTTTGAAGCCTCCTCGGCCGCAGCCCTCGTCGCACTCATCTCTGCTCAGT